AGCAGTCCAGCCGGCCGCGGCTCTCCGCCCTCAGCTCAGCCGGCCACCCGTGCGGATGCAGGGAACGTCGTGCCAGAAACCATCACCATGGCGGCAAGCTTTCCCTCTGGTGGGGAGAAGGGGGTCCAACGGGTAGGTTGCCGAAAGTAATCTATCTGAAGCCTGTGTCTCAGATTACGCAGCAGACGCCCTGTGCTTGTCGGCCATGGCTCTGTCTCTGTGCCACTGGTGAGACCCCGTGCCTCCCGGCTGCTGGGGCCCTGACCAGGAATCCGCATCTGCCCGCCTGGAGGGCGTGGTCCTCACACACACACACACACACACACACACACACACGCACGCACCAACCCCCCGGTGCCCTTCAGGGCATCTCGCAGCCAGTCGGACCTTGGACGCGGAGGCCGGTAACCTGGAACTTCCTCCAGGGCCACGGACGGGGTGAAGGTTTGCACCCCCATCCCTGGCTCGTACTTCCTGTGCCACCGCGGGCTGATTCTCCAGGTGCGAGGTGGAGAAGTCAGACTTCCGCGAGCATCTGGAACCCCCCCCCCACCCCCGCAGTTAGACGAGGGACACGAGTGCTCACGGTTTTCGTGGCCAACTTGGCATTTAAGTCATCAACTGGTTTATGACACTCCTTGTTCCAAATGTCCCGTAATGTTGGTAGATCTTCTATGATACGTTTTAAAATGTTAAAATCCAGCCGTATCAAACCCAGAAGAACCTACAAGAGAAGGAGCTGTCCCCGTGGCGCTGTCTGCGACACGTGGGCGCAGGCGCGGGCCCCCTCATTCACTAGCCCCCGACACGCACACCCCGCACTCGATTCTTCGGGCCCAAGCCACCAGGAGGAGCAGCCCGTCTCAGCCGTGGCACGTTCTTCTGCCTGTCTCTGTGCCTGCGGGTTAGCAGGGCTCCGGCCGGAACTTTCTCTGCTGGCTCCCGCTCTGGCCTGGCTGTCAGGCATGACGTAGATGCTAAGGCGTATCCCCCGAAACAAGGGAAAAAACTGGAAAGAGCTCCACCCACGAAGCTCTGGCTGCAGCCAACAGGGGCCTCCACTGAGACCAGACGTTTCTAGAGGAGGAAGCAGTTGACCGTGACGTTGAATGGCTGATACGTCCCGGATGGGTTGAAGCCGGTGGAGCAAAGTCTCTTTAGACCCAGATGCCACCGAGCGTGGCTTTGCGGTGAGTTCGTTGCTTGAATTCGTGCTGGTACCACGTGCCTAGTGGAAACCCCCAAGGCCCCACTGGCCCCACACGTGGGCTTGGGAAACTCACTCCTCTCACACCTCAGTTTCCTTATCTACGGAACGGGACTAACGATAATTCCTGTCTCGTAGGGTCGTTGCGACGATAAAAGAGAGCACACAGGAAATGCGGTAGGTAGAGCAGTGCCAGGCACATGGTCCACCCTGATTAATTGCCTGCCGTTGGGATTACTCAAGACCTTCTGAAAGATTGTGAGACAGCAAATATTTCCCAACACAATTCAATAGTAATTAAGGAAGGATGGAGTCACAATGTCTAGCCATTCAAATGCGCTGGCCCCACGGTCAAGGGCTCCCAGCTGAGGTCACATACAGCATCCCTCCTGCCTTCACAACTCGGACGCCCCACGCAGGAGCTACTGTACCTCAACCTTCAGAGAGGCCTGGGCAGAACCCCTTAAAATAAAAACGCTCTTGTCCCTTTCTGACACGTGGAGATCTGTGTAGTGAGGCAGGGCTGGTGGGGCACAGATGGGATTGCTAAGCGGCCAGTCTGCCGGGGCTCTCCCTCTCTCCCTGTGCAGCCCCCCCCCCTCACCCCCGGGGTCTCGGACGTGCCGGGAGGCTCCCCGCGGCCTCTGCCTCCCCAGGCACCTGCCTGCTCTCTGAAACTCACCATCTTTCCTACCGATGCCTCAAGGCAAAGCAATAGATTCACGTCTGACGCCTTCATCGGTGATGAAATACCTCCAGACAGAAATTGCCTACAAGTACCCCTTCCTGTGATGCGTGTGCCTGGGGGTGACAGAAGGTGCGTGGGTAACCAGGCAGAGACGCAGGGAAGCCTTCGGCCTCTTGATGACACCTGACTGCCCGCTGTGCCTTCGGCACCCCCTATGCGGGGTTAGGTGGTCCTGTCTTATTCCAGTGACCTCTCATCACCCACCCTCTGCTTCCGAGTCTCTGGATACAATTCTCATCTGCCGGGAAACCTGTTCCTCCAGAAGAATGCAAAACCCACAACGTATCTAGAGGAGATCAAAGTGATCAAGGCTCCCCAGTTAAAATTATGATTCAGATTTACACGAGTGGTCGGTATTCATTCAGACGAGCTCTGATTGACGGGTGCGTTAAGAGAGCACACGTCCCTTGGAAGTAAAGGACAAATACTACACCAAGCACCAAATACTACAAAGAGAGACTAGAAAGAAACCTAACAAGGAATCACTTGTGGGTTAAGTTCTCACAGGCAAAAAGGGATCTTGGAAGTAGAAAGACCTGATTTGGTTCCGGCGCCTAGGGATAAAAAACGTGCAGACAGGGACATTTATCACGACATCCCCTTGTGGCTCCGGGCTGGCGTGTCCCCACTGGGCACCGGTGTGGCCTGTGGTGAGATCTGCCTGTCTCGTCAGTCATGGTGAATGCCCCAGGGCAGAGAAAACCAAATGGACGAGGGGGCAAGGTAGCACCACGAAGGCGTTCCTGCTTCTGAGCTCAGTGAAGGGCACGTCACAAAGGAGCTTCAGGGCCATTTTAGCCCGACACCCCAGTGGCTCGAAGAGGGGTTAGGAGCTGTTCTGGAGGTGCCGGGGCAGAAAGATGCTCCTTCTTGGGGCTCCGCGGTGGCTCCAGAAGGAAGAGTACCCGAGGCGCTGGCTCAGGCCGCGAGTTTCCACCCGGGGACCCGCAGAAGGACGGGGTGTCTCCATCAAGGCGGGAACTCAAGGTGGCGGCCCGTTCCCCTCTCTTCAGGTTTTCAGGTCCCTCTAGGAATGAAAACATAGCTGTTACCCTCTTTAGCCCGTCAGGCCGGCCTCCAGCGCCGAGATGGAGTAGGCGCCTGCATTTTGCCACGAGTGAAGTGTGGGTGGGTTCCCAGCATCAATGGGGACAAGGTTGGCCCCTGCTAGGCGGTCCCAGGCGCGCATGGGACAGCTCTCCTACCCGCACGCGCCCCCGCATCGTCCGTCCCTGACTGAGTCCTCTCCTTAGTTTCCCGCGACTCCCCCAGCCCTGGCAGTCCTGCTTTGAGCCAGAACAGTTACGTTTTATGCCCCAAGCACAGAACATAGTGGATAAAAGAGAAGATGAGCCAGTGGGCAGTCCTGGGTGGGCTCTCGGAAGGTCCGGGCGCCATGTTCAAAGAAACAACCAAAGATGCGGACCCTCTGGAAAACTTCCCTTGGGAATGGAAACCTCTTCTGGACCTTCCCCCCTCCCAACGACACCTGAAGACCCTTGCAAAAGGGCGTGTCGCATACCGGCCCCCAGTGGCCCCGAGGCAGCTGGTGACTGAGGCGCCTCTGGCCTCAAGGGAGCCATCTATCCAGCATCCATGCATCTGCTCATCTGGGGCCAGGGAGGGTGGGAGCTCCTTTTTTTTTTTTTTAATTATTTTTTAACGTTTATTTATTTTTGAGACAGAGAGAGACAGAGCATGAACGGGGGAGGAGCAGAGAGAGAGGGAGACACAGAATCCGAAGCAGCTCCAGGCTCTGAGCTGTCAGCACAGAGCCCGACACGGGGCTCGAACTCACGGACCGCGAGATCGTGACCTGAGCCGAAGTCGGATGCTTAACCGACTGAGCCACCCAGGCGCCCCTGGGAGCTCCTTTTAATGGCCCCCCAGGGAGCCACGTGGCCCGCACCAGTGTTTCCCAAAGTGTCTTCCCTTAAGACCCCGTGCATCAAAATCGCCAGATCAGAGCCTCTGAAGAAGGGGCCTGGGGATCGTCAACGTGCACAAACAGCCGGGGGGAGTCCCACGTACCCCCACGGTGGAGATCCCAGCAGCATGCGCGGGGACTGGAGTCCCACTCTGCTGTCACTAGCTCCGGGGGCCTTACCCAGGTCCCCTCACTGTAATATGGGGATGGTCCTAGGACCTGCCACCCAAGATGACACTGAGGGAACCGGGGCAAGACATCACCTGGCACCCCGGTGAGAAGGCTCCCAGACTCGGGAATCTTGTTCTCCCAGGAGCCAGCCCTCCTCCCCAGCTTGAAGACGGGGAGTGGACTTCCTGGACCTGCCCCCGTTTCGACCTTGACCTTCCATGATTACTAGCTCGGCCACATGGACCGTCTGTCCCCGAGTGCAGCTGCGTGGAGGGAGCACCTCCGTGGCTCTGTGGGCGACTGCCCCTTCCCCGCCCTCCACCCCCCGCACCCACACGGCCCTCTGCACCCTGGGGTCCCGTCACCGGCCATCGAGGCCACTGCGGCCAGAGGACCGCTCTTGCAAACAGAAATCCGTTTCTCTTGCTTCCAAAGAGGTTGATGGTTGGGGGCTGGATTCTGCACTTAAGAGTGTGACATGTCCCAGCAGTGGGCACCGGGCCGGTCTGCCGGCTGACAAGATGAGTGCCAGTGGACGTTTCCAGGAAAGGCCTGTCTCCCAGCACCGCCTCGCGATGAGCCGGCACCGAGGGTAGGGAGCATCCGTCCCTGCCAAGGATGCACAGCAGGCCTCAGCCTGGACGGGGCAAGTTCATGCAGCTTCTCCTTGAAAAGCAAAACTTCCCCGGGGGGCGCCTGGGGGGCTCCATCGGGTGAGCATCCGACTCTTGGTTTCGGCTCAGGTCATGATCTCACGATGGATGGAGCCCGGCGTGGGGCTCGGTGCTGTGCGTGGAGCCTGCTAGGGATTCTCTCTCTCTCCCTCTCTCTCTGCCTCTCCCCTGCTCTCTCTCTCTCTCAAAAATAAATAAACAGTAAAAAAAAAAAAAAAAAAAATTCCTGGAGGCAGAGCGGGGAAATTAATGTCCAAGGCACATGAGGTCTTTGATGTTTTTCTTAGCCAGTTGTTTCAAATTAAAAGGAGCATTTTAAAAGGTCTTTGATCGGGGCGCCTGGTGGCTCAGTCGGTTGAGCGTCCGACTTCGGCTCAGGTCATGATCTCACGGTTCGTGAGTTCGAGCCCCGCGTTGGGCTCTGTGCTGACAGCTCGGAGCCTGGAGCTGCTTGGGATTCTGTGTCTCCCTCTCTCTCTGCCTCTCCCTAGCTCACATTCCACCCCCTCCCCGTCAAAAATAAATAAACTTAAAAAAAAAATTAAAAGGTCTTTGATCTAGGGAAGGAAGCAGATTACTGCTTGCTAGAGACTGGGGGGGGGAGGGGAGGGATGGTGACCACGCGTGAGGCTCAGTTCAGGGTGCGAAGGCATTCCCGACCCTGCAATCAAGGTGCAGGCTTTACAACACTGAAGAGCCCAGATACCCCTGGATTGTCTGCTTGAAAACGGTTAATTTTATGTCATGTAAATTTGGCCTTTGTTTTAAAAGCAAAAGGAAGATCTCAAGTTCTTTGAAGCTATTCTAAGGCGTGAGTGGTGCGGCTCGGAGGTCAAGTCTGCAAATATGTGCTGAGCGCTCACAAGGCAGAAGGCTGTGCGGACGCCCCCGTGCGGCCGGGCCCCGACGCCTCCCTCCTGCTCCTCCCTCCTATCCACCTGCGGTGCTCCCTTCTCTTGCGCGCCCTGGTCCTGCCCAGCCGACCTCACCGACCTGTTCCCCTCCTCCTCCAGGGAGGCTGCCCCAAAGCGCAAAGCTGTCCGGGGACGCCCCCACCTCGGCCCCAAGGTCAGAGACTCTCCAGCCCATCCCTGGCTCTCCGCAAGGTCCAAACTCTTCAGTGGGGTCCTGGAGCGCTGCAGATTCACACCCTCGCCTCCTGTCTACACCTGGTCCACACTCCACTCCACGCACACGTGCCCACGGGATTCATCTCCATCCCCAGGGGCTCATCCTCGGCCACCCGTCCCCCTTTCCCCACTTGGTGGAGCAAGTTGTCCGTCTCGTTTCTGCCTCGGCCGCCCTGTGTGTCCCCACCCCTCACGGAGCCTTCCCTATGGGACTAGCCATGCTCCTGACCACCAGCCAGCGGCCACGGAACACGGCTTGCTGAACAGACCACCCAGTGATCGCTCCCTGGCTCGCACAGCAGCGCTGGGGCCGCAGAAGAGGATGCCAGAGGCCAGTGACGGGGCCAGTGTGAGCTGCACCCACCTCCAACTGCTCGTGGATCCAGTCCAGGAAGGAGGTGATGCGCGTGTAGACGCCGGGCTTGTTCACGTCGGCACAGCCGATGCCAAAGCTTGTCGCTCCCACCAACTTCCACACCCTCCTCTCCTGACACACCAGCGGTCCCCCGCTGTCTCCCTACGTGGCGAGGAGAGAGGCACTGCTGTGCGTGTCCCTTGTCTCAGCACTACGATCCCCCCCTTTGTAGCTCAAACTTGGTTCCACGATGGCTCCACATTACTCCCCCAGCCTCCAAGAGGGGTTGTTAGCACTCCCAGCACTGGGGTCCTGGGTCCCCCGAGGACGGTCTCCCCCCTCTGTCTCCCCACCAGATTCTGGATGCGCCGAACTGTGAAGGTCAAGGCAGCTCAGAGGGAGGGTCTGCCTGGCGGGGGCTGGGCTCAGGCAGTGATGGAATCTCACCTCACGGGTGAGGCTCAGATCCAGGGTTCCCACCTGCCACCCCTGCCCCCCGCCCCCCCAAACCCTGAGAGCCAGGGCTGGGGCGAGGAGCGCCCTGGAGACCCCTCCCACTGTCAGCACCCAGCCAGAGTGGGAGCGGTGGGTACACTGGGCCGGCAGCCAGGAAAGGGAGGGATATCTTGAGCAAACTTCTTCCCCACGCCCTGTATATTTGCTTTTCAGTCACAGGGAAGTGCTGGCGGTGGCCTGTCCCACAGGCCGGGTCACCGTTCCAGAGCCTCACCCGCGGCTGTGGCCCCCGGAGGTGACCAAGGGCCCCCACCTGGCAGCTGTCCACACCGCCCTTCAGGTAGCCGGCGCAGAGCATGGAGGGGGAGACGATGCCTCCATACACATCTCTGTGGTTGCAGATCTTGTTGGAGAGTAAAGGCACGGCTGCGTGGTTGAGGACCGGGGATGCATCGCCTGTGGCAGAGCAAGAATTCAGAGGGCACGCACCGGGACGGGTGAGGGGCAGGCCACCACACTCCGGGGGCAGAGGAGGCGGCTCCTGGAGGTGGACGGATGGCTCGTGGCTGTGGCGAGCTCCCTGATGCGTGGGCCCTGCGGCCCCGTCGATGCGCATCAGGAGGAGGGGGGACGGCAGTAGCCGGCATGGACCTCCCCAGGGCCCCCCTCGGGCCGAGCACTCGACCCACACCAGCCCGTTCAGTCCTCAGAGCTGTCTGGGCTGCAGAAGGGAAACTGAGGCCCATGAAGGTCACACACACAGTTTGTGGGCAGAACACGGGTGCGGTCAGCAGAAAAGTGTCCTCCCAAAGACGCCGGCATCCCCACCCCGGGGGCCTGTGTTCGTGTCACCCTCCATGGCAAAAGGGCCTTGAGGTGGAGGCGTGATCCTGGGTGGCCTGGGGGGACCTCTAAATGTCACCATGAGCGTCCGTAAAAGGGTCAGAGAGGAAGACACGATGGTGTGGAGCAGAGGTCAGACAGGAGGGACACTGGATGGGGCTCTGCCAGCGGCTGGGAGGGTGGAGGAGGGGCCACGAGCCAGAAAGTGCAGGCGGTCCCGGATCCTGGAAAAGGCCAGAAAACGCACTCTCCTTCAGAGCCTCCAGGAGGGACCAGCCCTTCCGACGCACTGATTCCGGCCCACGGAGACGGATCTGGGACTCCCGACCCCTCGAACTGTCAGATAACACGTTTCGTGGGTTTAAAGCCACTAAGTTTGGGCTTGCTGCTGCGGCAAAGGGAAATGGTGCATCTGGATTAGCCCCACCACCGACCCGAAGGGATCGACACCCTGTAACTTAACCCGTTTGTAAAGCAGTTATCCTTACGCTTTATAGGCTTAAAACAAGGGACACACCTCTATTCCCACGTCTCTGGCACGCATCAGCAGGTGGTGTGGGGCGCGTGCTCCTCCAACCCACACGCTGAGTTTCACTGGGTGTGAATTATACCCTGTTTTCTGCACGGGCTTCCCCGATCCACCCACACAGCCACTTGTATGGGGACCACTGGCCGCAGGTTGGACTGAGAACGGTTCCTCTCCCTGCTCGCCCCACAGGATCCAGCAAAGTCAGAATATAATCTGCCACGTCAAGTCATGAGGGACGACATGAACAGGGCTGCAGGGGGAGTGTGAACGTGGCAGACCTCCCGCCACCTGGCCGTGGGAGCCCAGGCAAGGTGCTCGGCACCCCCTCAGCCCCAGTCTCCTGGCCCTCGAGACGACCACAAAAAGAATTCCCCGCCGAGGGGCTGCTGTGAGAAGCAGGCAGTGTCTCACGGAGACATCCGGCTCGGCACCTGGTATGTGGTGAAACGGAGCTCAGCGTGTGTGTGGAAGAAGCTTCTAGTATGGGCGAGAGGAAGCAGCCAGCCACACGGGTGGGACCCTGCACGCGGAAGATCTGGGTACGCCCCAGGGTGCCTTGGACATTCGGGAGGGAGCGGACTCAACTAAAAAGCCTCGAGAGGGAAATCCTGAACTTTCTGTGTTAGGGTGAGCTGCACCCACCCCCCAAAAAACACGCTCACCCGCAACCCTAGAAGGTGCCCTTATTTGGAGTAGGGTCTTTGCTGATGTAGTTAAGGTAAGAATCTCAAAATGAGATCACCCTGGATTTAGGGTGTGCTTTAAGCCAAAGACTTACAGAGAAAGGGGAGAGATCTGCGACATGGGGTAAGGGGGCATGTGAGGCTGGGACAGAGACTGGAGGGATGTATCTACAAGTCATGGGAAGCCAAGGATGGCTGGAGTCATCGGAAGCCGAAGGAGGGGCTGGGGACAGGTTCTTCACCCCCAGAGCCTCCAGAAGGAACCGGCCCTGGGACACTTTGATCTCAGACTTTCGGCTCCAGAGCGAGAGACAATGAGCCTCTGCTGTTAAAGATCCCCTGTTTATGGACCTTTGCTGCAACAGCCCCAAGAAACCCACGATCTTCCTACCAGAGAGAAAGCCATTGGCGGAAAAACTCCACGGGTGGCGAGCACACGTGTGCCCCCCGAGGACGGATGGGGCGGGTTCCAAGTGCGTGCACGGTTCTTACTAAGATGACTACTTCTGTTAGGATTAGAGTGGTAGGGTTCCGTTTGTCTGCTTTCTCTGCTTGAGTGAAATAACACATCTTCCAAAGTCCTCACCAGTTACGAACGTCTGTCTTCTGAACAGACCTCGGGAGGGGTTCTCTAGGGGGTCCTTGTGTGCTCAGTTAGCAGGGTGGGGAGGAGGAGGAAGGAGACCCCCCCCCGGTCATTCGGTAAAGGTCTCCCTGGCAAGGGGTGGCCACGGTTCCCCTTTCCGATTTGTTCCTCTCCTGACAAAGTCTGCAATTTCACATCCCGAGACAAACGGAACCATGACTCTGACCCACAAGCGCTCTGCGGAGATCGTGTGTCCAGTGGTCGACCCGCACCCCCTGCCCGGGATTTGTGAGCCTCCGGGGGGGCTGCGCTGGGGGGGGGAGGCACGGCGGGGGGGACACTGCGCTGGGACACGGGAGGAGCGTGTGGCCGTGGGCGTCCACCCTGACCTCGCGGCTCTGGGCTCCCTGGACTTAGAATCTCGAGTTCAGATGACTGACCTCCATCCTCTGTGGCCCCCCATCCTGACGTCCAGCACATTTTTCCATCAGGGAACTGTTCCTCGGAGTTAGGCAGACAGACTGGCTGGATCATCTCTGTTCCAAGGGGAAACAACAACCTTGAACTCGACTGAAGCAGAAACAACAGCCTTGAACTTGACTGAAACACTAGTCCAAGGAAACAATTAATCTCTCCGGCGTCTGCCTCTCCGAGGGGCTCAAACCGGCTCCCAAAGGAAGGTCGAGCCCTGGGTCATGTTGAAAGCTACCGGCTCAGAGCAGGGACTTCCCCCGGCCAGAGCCATAAACCTTCAAACACCCCTAAACCGTGGCACCGTGAGTGAGTCTGGACCAGGGGCTGGCATATTTTCTGTGAAGGGCCACATAGTAAATACCTGAGGCTTTGTGACCCTGTGGTCTCTGTCATAACTGCTCCTATCTGCCACAGGGGCGTGAAAGCAGCCACAAATGCACCTGGTCGTGTTCCACGGAAACTTCGTTTGCAAAAACAGGCAAAGGGTCAGATTCGGTCCCGGGGCCCCGGCTTGCCCGCTCCTGGTCTGGACCATGGGTACGTCGCCTTAGGAAACATCCCTCCATTAGTATTCCCGTCCCTCCCGACACATCTGGAGGCAAGAAGCTTGCCTGTCCCTGCCGGCCGTGTCACATAAGCCCTCCACCAGAGGCAGGGTCATGGCTGCGTGAGGCTGTCAGGTGAATACATTCTGACACGCTCTGAGCTTTTCTGCACGGGACGGTGATGGGAAGGCAGAGAAATAATAAGGGCGCTCGTTAACTTTTATCAAGGTACAGGCGCGGGGGTGCCGGGGGGGGGTCCATCAGTTGGACGTCTGGCTCCTGATTTGGGCTCAGGTCGTGATCCCACGGTTCATGAGTTCGAGCCCCGAGTTGGGCTTGTGAACACACTGCTGATTCTTCCAGGTCAAACCTGCCACTGACCTTGTGCCGGGATCCCGCTGCATAAGGGGCCCCGTTGACTGTACCTCCGCCCGCGCCCCAAGCTGCTGGGGAGGGAGAAGGGGGCTTTGATTGACTTAGCAGTGGGCTCCTAATCCTTCCTTCGCCTCTGCAAAGTGTTTGAGAGTTCTATCCTGGGTGGCTTTTCTGGTATTCTGGTAACTGCCGGAGGTCAGGACTTGCTGTCCCCCATGGAGAAACGTGGCCTGCTGAGCTCAGCCTCTGGGTGGGAGAGAATGTTTCTGAGTCCCTCTGGGAGCTGCAGGTGCCAGCATCTTCCGGCTAGTTAAGAAATGGCGGCAGGGACGATCACGCTACAACCGCGGGCTGACCTGGGAAGTCCACGACTGAGACACCGGGCAGAGGAGTGGCCCCGGCAGGGGACCTCACCACAAGCAGCTCCAGGACAGGGAACAGTTCTTTGTCCCCACGGGCCAGAGACCCCCTTCCGCCACCTGGGGGCACCAGGTGGCCTGGCCTGGGGAAGTCCCTTTCATCTCCAGGTACCACCAGCAGGAAGAAAAGTGGCACCAGCAGGAGCCCCAGTGGAACCAGACAAACCCAGTTGACCAAAGTAGAGCCGTATAGTCTCTAAAATCCAACACCACCAGAAGCACAGCCCACAAATAGGAACGTCACGCACAGTGAGCCTGAACAGGGTCACCACCTGCTAAACCCGAAGATGGCTAGGGACCCAGCGTCTCCTAACGCAACAGCCCAGCGTCCGGGATGCTCCTGAAGGTGACTCATCGTACCAAGAACCGGGAAAGTCACAACTCCAGTGAGAAAAGATAATAAACTGAGGCCAGCAGCAAAACGAATCAGCCAACCAGCGGGATTATCCCGCAAGATTTCAAAGCGGCTGCCATACAAATGCTTCAACGGACGATCACAGACAATCTTGGGACGCACAAGAGGAACCGAAAAACAGAGAGACCCGGACGTACCGTTGAAGGTGAGCGGCCCGGCCAGCTTCATGAGGGCAATGTCATTGCCCAGCCTCTTGGGCTTGTACCTGCTATGGTAGATGATCTTTTCCACCAGGTGGGAAGGGGCCGGACTGTCGAGCAGGGAAACCAGGCCCACCTGGATGGTCCACGACTTGGGGATGTACAGGCTGCAATGAGAAGTCAGAGGGGGGGGCGAGAAACCCCCAAATACTCTAACCCACGGACCTCAAACGTCCGGAGACCCTGTGCCAGGCGGGCGGCCGGGACAGAGGCTCCCCCTGCACCTCCCGAGCTCGCGCGTGGCCTCTGACCACGCCCCCGTGCCCCGCACAAGTGCAAGTGTGCCCCAGGAGTTTCCCAGGCAGGCCTCGGTGCCCGCGCCTCTGGGACTTCTGGACCTTTGAGGCTGTGAGGGGTGTGTCAGGGCCCAACCTCCGTCAGAGAGCAGCCGAAACAGAGCGAGGCAGAAAACAAAACAAAACAGGCCATCGGAGAATTAGCCAGTGTTTGGGGACTCTCTGTGTGGCTTTTCCCCGAGCTAATCCCCCTGCCAGCCTGCCCTGCCTCCCGCCCTCTTGGCCGCCACACGTCACTGTAAGTGCCACAGGGAGGCTGGCGGGTTTCTCCCTGCACCAGAGCTTCCTTCTGATGCCTTCTACATTCTCTGTACGAGCTGCAGGCCTGAAATCCTCAGAATGAGCTCAGAGTCCCCAGTCACAGCCAGCGGCGACAGTGGTGGTGGGTCCACGGTGGGGGAGGGGGGGGGTCCCTCGGCTGGACGTTACTTTGTG